GGTCATGTGACTATCAATGATATCGATGAATTCACAAATGACTATAAAAAGTGTTAGTAAAGTGTTTTAGTCACTTTGGATGAATTGTGACCAAACTGCGCGATTTTCAAATCAGACGAAACTTTTAGCAGCATGTCACAGATTTGCAAAATCAACAAATTCACAAAATACCATTAAATGCCATTTTATTGTAATCACAATGTTGAAAGGACGTGGCATTTTCCGGAATTTTGCGATATTTACACAACTATTTCTCATTGATATGCGAGGAGGGGTGGGCAAAATTCAATATTTTTTTAAATCGAATATTTTTAAGGAGTACCGAATAAACGTGGTGAAAACATTAAAAAATCGGCAACAAAGCCTTTTTACTGGTTAATTCCGTTGTAATCGCTAATTGTTCTTGTCACCGATCGTTTTGGCAGGCGATATCCAGGTTTTGGGTAATCTATATTCCCGCCCTCTCTTTTTTACGAATATGAATTCTTGTGGGTCGGCGGACATCGAAGTTTTATATTTCGGGTTTACCCGTTCACATCGGCAACAGCTGTTGACGACATTGAGGACTCAAATTAACATTTGCGCCGGCTTTAATATTACCTATCAAGATTTGTAAATTTACCGTCCCGATTTTATGCGAATGGTAATATCATTGTCCATACCGTGATGCAGATATTTATTGGGACGATAATTAACTTTCTCATGTATTTCTATGGTGATAAACTTCGCAAATCTGAAATTGTGCCAATCCTGAATGTTGATTTGAAATAGTGATTGAATAATTCGGCTATAAAAGCATTTCTGCGTCGTCATAAGACGAGATGACGTTAATGAACAGCACTTCTTTTACAGGATATTTTACGTATGCGACTTAATGCTAAAAAGATTGGACTCGAGTGCTTTTTTTTTTCGAGTGCCTAATAGAGGTCAGGCGCTAATTGTAACTAATTCCCTCAAGTCTCAACGTGTTTTCAACAAAACAATACCCCGGCGATAATTATAGCTAAAATGTTACCGAGCAATTCACAATTTTATTTATGGAATTTGCAAATTCACCAGTTTCTTGACGATTTTGATATTGTCACGCCCTAATTATTAGTGCAAAAAAATACTCCCCTTCTTCCGCGGCGGTTTAACGGGTTCTTTGTTCCATTCTTCAGAAAGTTCTGACACGGGGGATATAGAATACTGAATCCGGAGGGTTGAATCCCTGTCCACCTACTGGTGATTTTCCGTTTTGAAATGCGTGAAACATTCTCTATTTTAAACTAAAAGACGTTTCGCGGGCTAGAGTTCTCCCCGAAAATGATGTGTTCCAGACGTTAGTTAGACGATAGATAAAACATTAAATTAATAATTTTCGTGACGCTCCGTTTTCGAAAATACAAAGTTATATCGCAAAAAAATGCGTTATGATACATTTGGAATGAAACATTATTTACGGTGAATTCAGATCACATTTTACTCTCCATGACACCCGGTATCCGAAAATACAGTTGTATCTCGAAAAATGTGTTTTGTTACATTTAAAATAAAACATTTTTGCGATTAATTTAGATCATATTTTGCTTTTCACGACACCCGTTTCCGAAAATACAAGGTTATATCGCGAAAATGTGTTTTGTTACATTTAAAATAAAACATTTTTGCGATTAATTTAGATCATATTTTACTTTTCAGGACACCCGTTTACGAAAATACAAGGTTATAAATGTGTTTTGTTACATTTAAAATAAAACATTATTGCAATTAATTTAGATCAATCTTTACCTTTCACGGCAACCCGTTTCCGAAAATACAAAGTTATATCACAAAAAATGCGTTTTGTTACATTTATTTTGCATTCCCAATAAAATACATATTTTCCCTAATTAAGGTCCTCGATGAATCTGTTCCTGTCGTTCAAGCTCGACACACGTTTGGACGAGTGTGGGGTGGTTTTTTGATCGACGATAAATTAAAAAGTTGCCACACGTTATTTGTATAACGATAATAACTGAAAATTAAGATTTTATAATAGAAGTGAATTTGTCTCAAGATGGTATTTTACGATTCCTGCCAACAGAAAATAAACACGCTGACAGGCTTGGTTATAATTGATATTCGTTTGATAAACGCGCCACACCAATTGCGACCATATAAATTGCAGTCGCATCGGCATGGACTGTATGTTTTTGGCGCTCTCAAATTAATAATAGTTTTCAACAAAACAATACCCCGACGGTCATTAAAGCTGAATTCGTTACCGAATAATTCGCAATTTTATTTACAGAATTTGCAATTTCAAGATCTCACTTGACGATTTTGATGATGTCATGCCCTAATTATTACTGCTTAAATGCCTCAAAATACAACAAATGTAATCATTTTCGACGATAACAGGCGCAACAATTCGTAAACGAGCCGTTATAACGAAATTCGCGATTGATTTTACCTCTCTCTTGTTTACAATTTTAACATCCCGCCGGCCATGTATGGCCGAATAAAATGTTCACATATTCGAAACATGACTTGGCCAAGGATGGAAGGGATCACTAAAGAGCTAATAGAAAGTACATACGCGAGGGTATGATAATAATATCGAGAATATTTGTGAGCATATCACAGGACGGAAATATTTTGCACCCGGCTGTTTGTTGGCAGAACAACGATACGCTAAAGTTAATTGATCGAATACAGGGAAGTATTTATTTATCATCTCACTTGCGACATCGAGGTTTTGGCGGAATTGTACGATCATGTTGTCTTTCTTAAATAATAACTTTTTCAATAAATGTTCATTTTACTTTTGCGTTTTTATTATAGGTCTGGTTTTCATTTATTTTAAATTCGAAATTGTCCGAAATACTCCCAACAGGTGTATAGGTACAATAATAATAGTACTTACCAAAGTACCTACCAGGGAAGTTTAATACACAGATGTGTAAAGGGCGTCGTAACTCCCGTTTATTAATTATAAATTTTTTTACATTCTGCTTAAAAAACAACGGCAGTCATCTCACGTAACTCTCGCGACCAAATCTTTTTTGTTTTGTATGGCATCTTCTTGGCGACGAATTTATTGCCGACTGAATTTTAATTGTGTTTTAGGTTAGTTATTTTCTGTTTGTTGGTTTCTAAACTTTACAAACTTGGGTAGCAATTACTATTAATGTGAGATTTGTGCATATGAACGATTGAATATCGCGACTGGATGTCCGATATCTGAGAATGCGTAATTCTCTTTCAACATTAATTTTCAGGATATCAGCGTTCAAGTGGTCGAATAAAAATTATTTATCAAATGGATTGGTATTTCGAGACACTCTCAAAATTATTTGGGATCCATTATCATATCATTCGTTTATTTTTTATATTCATGTTTTTCTCAAGAATCACCCTCGTTATATTTAGTGTACCTTCGCAAAAGAAAACTCTTTGATGTCATCGTTCCTATTAGTGTAATTGAAATATATGGAAACCTCGCAAGTGGCGTTGTGATGCGAATATTTGATACTAGGTCAGCAGCATTACAGAGAGTGCTATTTATGAATGCTGAAAGTACATGACATTACTAAACATTTTCCCAATATATGATGTTTTCTGCCCGATTTAAACTAACTCGCACGCAAACCAAGGCATGTGGACATTTAAAAATTACTTGTCTTTGGGTAAGCTCTGAAATAGTATAATATAAATGTAAATGAGAAATTAGGTCACGCTAGCTCACGAAACGGGAGGATTTTCAAAGTGATCTTGTGTAATATTTCGGAGAAAAAAGTTTGAAAGGAAAGTAGGTCAACCTATCTCCTAAAACAGGGGAGTATCCTGCATAATATTTCGGAGGGAACCTAGGTTAACCTATCTTTTAAAACAGCCGGTGGCGACTTTCAAAGTGGTTCAAAATCACAAATTAATAATTATCAGATTAGGTTTAGGGATGAATCGAAAAGTTGAATTTCCAGCGCACCTAACCCTAATTAGTTGATTGCTATATATTGGGGGGGATTATTTTGCACCGGATTTGTACAAACGATCCACCCTGTAACTAATATGGTTTCCAGCCGGCCTCGTGTCTGTTAGATGGAAGGAGTAACAAATGTGAAAGTCTTTGCTGTTTACGCGAGTAAGCAACTGACACCGTGATACATTGCATGAAAGTTTTGTCCACGGCAGGTGTTAGCAGATGTCATTTCGTTGCCGATGAATTCGCTTGTTTTAATTAAACATGAATTCGCTTAAAGGGAACTCGGTTAACGAAAAGGCTTCTCTTTAATTCATAATATTAACCGGAGGAGCGCTTTTTCGAGTATCTATGCCGTTTTAAATGGGTTATATGAAAGGCTAGGGCACCTAACTTGTTAAAATCGGCAAAAGCACTTTCGCACTTTTTTTTTGGACTGCGAAGCACTTTCGCACTCATAATTTGCTTAGAGTTAACACTGGCTACCAGTATACCGTACTGTTATATAATCGTACCGGTATCAAGACAGCAGTATGCCAGGTATGGTCTGCCTGCCAGGCTGCCACAGTTCATTCATTTCCATGGCACCGTAGTTTAGCATACCGGTACCGTACCGTACCGGTACCGTCAGGTCAGACTGTCTGCAGGACTGTGGCTGTGTCTGCAGATAGTTCGAGAGTCATGATGTCGAAAAGACTAGGTACAGAGTAAATTTCCTGATGTCTGTATAATATCTTGCATGTACACGTTTTGAGTTAGACATTTTCAGTGAATGACATCTTTGATGAATTATAATTGGTTCAATACAACGTTCATCGTAACAATGATGTTACTGAAAACTTTGAAATCATATTTTTTTGGAAAATATTTTGACGTCGAAACTACTAACGAAAAAATATTTCACCAATGATAAATATTGAATTTGGCATCTCCTTTATTAAGAGGCTGAGCTGACAGGCTGACGAACTGGTGAAAAATCATAGACTATTTCTGTTTTTTTTACACTGTATAAGAAGTAGTACTTCCTCAACATGTTTCATTTTGAATTTATTTTCATTTAATTCTCAGTGGTAGTTTGTAAAACTGTTTATCGAATTTTGTTATAATCATGAAGTGTTTTATAGTTTCTGGAGCGATTCTACTTGTTTTTGCATCATGTGCATCTGCCGAAACATCACCATGCGTGAATGCATCTATAAAATCCTGCGAAGAATGTCTGAAGGTGATATTTTGATACTAAGCACCGCTTTATATGGGAAGTAACCAATGGTGGGATTCAGCCGGTTCGCACCAGTTCTATAGAACTGTCTCACTGAATTTTATGAGATCAGCGAACCGGCTAGCATTACTGGTTACTGTAAATGTTCTGTTTGTAACAGAACCTGCTGAAAATATGACTTTTGTGAAGGAACCGGCTGACAAAAAATTTGAATCCCACCACTGGAAGTAACTTAAGAGGTGCATGCAGCACATCTCTGTTTTCTAGGCCAGTTATGGTCTTGTGGATGCACCCCATTTCCAACATATTTGAAGATACTTACATACAAGTAGACAAAATCCAAATTAGTATTTTTGATTTTTCCCCACTGTGTTTTCTCAGGTTATTTATGTACGCCAACTACTAAATTTTCTCGTGATACTTCTGCAATTTATTTTCTCATATGGAAAAATTCACATGTTATTATGATAAAAAAAGTTTTAAGTAAAAAAAGCAAGCTTTAAAGTAAAGTTTGAGGATGCAATGACAGAATGATGACTTTGATCATCACCATCCTGTTGTCCCAATTTAAAATATATTCTATCGAAGATTCGGCATTCCAGAAGTGTGTGTACCAATATGAAGGTGAAAAAAATCATGTTCACCTACCTTACATCAATTTGTATGATGGGACTGAAACCTATGGACAGGGGGTATATTCACTTGGCTAACACAGACAGATACCGAACTCGTAATATAACTAAAATAAGGAAAATCGGAATAATATTATAGCCTAACCCTAACCTGATACACAGACTACGGACTACGGGAGTATCGAATATTCGAGTCTCATGTAATTTCGTACCTAACACACTTCTAGTGGGCGTAACATAACAATTTTTTCATGTGTCAATTGCGCCATCCAAAAATTACGTCACAGTGACGTAATAGAGCCTTTCAAACTATGCGTAATTTTGGGACAGCGTAGTCAGATGGGGGTTAGGATTGACATATCAAAAAATTGTTATGCTTCGCACACTCGAGGTACAAAACTACACGAGACCCGAATGTTCTATATTCAATGTAGCTATATGGCTGGGAAAATTTTCCTAATTTTATTGATGGATTGCTAGGAATATGAAAACTGTCTGCTGATTGCCGCCATTACCTGTGAAAGGAGAGACTCCTGGTTATATTTTGTATTCAGATATACCCGAAATGAGTCAAATAATTTATCAAATTGGAGATCAGTTATAGGCCTATTCAACGGCATATAAATTTTTTTATTTTATTCTATTCAGGTTGATGCAGTAAAGTGCATGTGGTGTGGGGCAAAGAACCCTATACCGGCTTGCAAAGAATATCCAGCCAAACATGTTCTCCCTACAAATGATGATTGTCCGCTTTCTGATGCGAGATGGGGGGTTTGCTGGCTAAATTTTGAAGCGTTGATTATTTCTTGCAGTATTATCGGTGAGTTATCGACAGTTTGCTAATATTTTCTATTGATAAACTTATGGCTGAATTTTAAAAGCTGTTATATATTTGTATAGGTTCAGAATATTTTTGTTGTGTCAAAATTTCATTTAGTAGGCTGCAACAGTTTTGTGGTTATTCAGCAAATTCCCCTTCTTTATAACTTTACTATTCAAATTTGTTATCATTAATCTGTTATGTCGTAGCCCAGAGTTCATATTGCGTATTACACTTCAGAAAGTTGATATCGCAAATTGATAAATGAAAAAAAGCTAAAATGGGTAAATCTTACTTTGGAAATGGTTATAGCACTGCCAATAAAATTGCATAGTTTACAAGGCAAATGGTTATGTGAAAGAAGTTCTTTGAACATTTTTATGTCACATTCTCCCTAAATTTATCAATTTACTAAAATGAATTTGAATATTTGATCGTTTTGGTTTGATTTGTATGATGGTGAGAATTGCAAATATTTAACAAAATTGCTCTCTTTCCAATATGTATGTTAATCCCATCCCATCTATCACCTGCTGTTTTATGTTTTTGATTCCAGGTGGGTTACTTCTGATCGGAATTACACTCTGCTTTTGCAAATGTTGTGGGTGTTGTTGTTTCAAGAAAAATACTTCAAGGTGTGTATATATAGAGCAGGGGTTGGCAACACGTCGATCGCCAAGTCTCGAGTAGTCGATTGCGTCTTAAATAAATGATGCGAGTACAATTACATAATCAAATTAACAAATTAAATGGAACATAAAAAATAAGAATTTCTGTGGCGATTTCATTAAAAGTGTTGAGAGCCGAGATATACACAAGCGTCAAGTTTTTTGGCAGCGGTGAATTTTTTTTTTGCAGTGTTCATTCATTTTTGTAGATTAGCAATTAGCGAGTGATTTTGAAGACCTTAGTCGATTGCAGTCGAAAGCAGGTTGGTCATACCGGTTATAAAGGATTACAAGGCAAAAGAACGAATGTTCTAATTTAGAAAAAATTCCAATTGAAAAAATTACGAAAGTCTTTCGTTAAACTGGTTTACCAATCAAAGTCTGAAGCCGTTATCACCAGAGTATTTCAAAAAACTATTTAGACAAACATTCCAAAAAAATATACCTTCTCTTTCTTTTCTCATAACGTTTTTATTAAGTTTTGAAGCCTTCAATGTCATGTAAAGACCTATTGAGATCATATAACCCCATAATGAAGACTTGAACTATGGTGTATTTCTAGATTTTTATCTTTGAAGTAATACTAGAGCTTTTGAACTAATTTTGCTTTTATGGAATTTTTGAGCGTTATTGGTGGACTAATTAATTTAATTCACAAAACCTTGCCTGGAGTAGTCGATGCAGCTTTGAATTTTGGTAGCCTATAGTTCTGAGATAAAATTGAAATCAACGACCCTGATAGCAATATTTTATCACTATAATATGTTGTCTAAATTTTATTAATATTGTCCCTCATTTCCCTCAGCCTTCAGTTTCACATAATGCCGAATAAAATCGAAATAAAATGTCCCTGATAGCAATATTTTATCACTATAATATGTTGTGTATATTTCATTAATATTGTCCTTCTTTTCTCTCAGCCTTTAGTAATCAATCAAACGGCCCGTTTTGCATAATATCAAAATTTATTGTTATTGGTATTTGAATGATGTGGCAGAATTACGCAATAGATCGATTATTAAATTATCGTAATTGTCTTTCTGCAGTCATTTTTCAAATACCATGCCTATCTTGGTAGTAAATTTGTGCACAAAAAAGCATTTTTTTGATCAACATTGTACCTCAATTCGCGGCAGTAATACTATGACAGTCTGTTTCATTATAAAATTTTTTTTTTAATTCATGTTCATAATAGAATCAAATTTTTTTTTCTATCACAATTTACAAGCTTTCAGAAACTTTCCATAAAATTCAGTGCAAGCATGACTAGAACTGAAATTCTCTAATTTTGACTACAATCTGTATGTGCATTGTTTTTGATATGTACATTCAGATTAAACCAGAACACAAGTGAAATTTTATCGTACTTTTTCTCATTTTCATGGGCTACTGTATTGTACTTATTCTAACTCATGTAAATTAACATAAAGGCTGGCGTAAGCCCATAATTAGATATTTTGAAAAATTCTGTCATAATTGATTGGCATAGGCCATACGAGGTGACCCCCACTCCCCACAAAAAAACAAAACAGAAACTAAATTTTTTGAACATATTCCGGAACATAATTTTTGTATGAACATGTTTTCGTTACTGAAACTCTTGGTTACAATTATACACAAAGCATTATGAAATAAACTTGCCTCATTTTCATAAAAATATGAAGATTCAAGTTTTGTTTTTGTTAGGTCATTCTGTATGTATTTCAGACTGTCTATTTTTGGTTTCTCAAACAAAAAAGTATCATAATAATGTCTTTTAGGCATTTTGTAGGCTGTGTATTATATTTGGAATCTCAGTCAACGTACATGTACAATGAAATAACAATTCAGGCCTACCTCTGCAGCACAGTCAGGAAGTGACATTTTATAAATTCTAGTGAGGAAGCTCAATTCATAATAAATGGAAGTTGTCATATCATAGCCATGCCTGTGGTATTTGTTTCACTACTTTCATGACCTGAATAGTTAGTTACTTAGTCACTGCTGATCTATAAACCGAAGGGTAAATTTATGTCAGAACAGGCAATTGTACTTGGTCCTTTCCTCAGTATTACTATAATTTCACATTTTGACCTATATCGATAAACCAGGGGTGGGAAAGGGCTGGATTTGGCCCACTTGAGTCTGCTCAATAAATTATGACTATAGTTTTTATGAGTATAAATTTTCGTTGAAAATCACATCCAAATGATTGTTACATTGTGCTTCTTATTATTTTATAAACTTGCAAATAAAGACTAGCTGTTGCAAATAAACTGTCTTTTTATACATAGTTTTTCATAAAGTAAGTACCGGTAAGTAAAAGTAATTGCCCACTTCTGCGATATACGGTTGCATGCGCCTGCTCTAAAATATCATGATAATTTCTCCTAGGGATGTTGTGGAATTTTCTCCAAATAATTTTAAAATAAACATTCAGGTATCAGAGAGAAGAAGCAAGGCTTGAAGTTGAACGTCAGAACAGACAAATGCGGCAAGATGCTCGCAGACAAGAGAGGAAGCAACGCAATGATGAGATTCGTCGCAAATACGGTCTCTCTACCGGGGGAGCGCAGTATCAGAAGTTTGAAAATGAATAACTTTTTGTGGCTTTTTATCAACTCTCTATGTATATATTCTTATCTTTGATTATTTTCATGCATTATTAATTTTAGCTTTCATCAACATTTAATTGGAGAGGATTGAGATGATATTATAACACTTGTGGTCGAAAAAAGATTTAATGGTAGATTTACCTTTTCATTTTTGTTTGCTAGCAGATTACGGTTATAGGGTGGTTGAACTCATTCTGCCTATAGATGGCACTGTCAAAATGTAACAATTTTTAATATTTTACTGGAATATCAGGACTTCCCAAACTGTGGGTCACAATCCCCCATGCCGGCGCACAGCGATTTTTAAGGGTCACAAAAAAAGTACACTAATTCCACACAAAGTATTATATCTATTGTACTTTTCAAAACATTTGATTTTTAAGTACAATTATCGAAGCAAAACATAAATCTCACGATTTCGGAAGAATGCATAGGACCAAAAAAGCGGCACGCTCGTTTAACGATGCCGACTTTGATCGTAAGGGAAGCGACGAGCTTGCATACCAATGTCATTCTAACAGGGGTAGCGGACAATTGTAATATATTGTGAGGGGTCGCAAGATAAAAAGTTTGGGAATCTCTGGGCTATTTTATGACAGATTGGGCAATGTTTGAAAGAGGAATTCCTGAGTGGTCATAGTAATATTGTAGAAAAGTGTTGTCCAATACTAAAACTTGAGATTTTAAAATATCAATATCTTATAAATTTACAAAGCATATCGAACATAACTATGCTTGAATATGAATATATATTTCAATATTTTGTCTATTTTGATCATTGCTTAATAACATGCTCGAATGATAATCGTAATAACATGCTCGAATGATAATCGTAGAGTTAGAAATGTACTCCGATTTCACCCAGGGATGTCCGAATCGAATTTAGCGTTTATAAGAAATTTTGCAATGTCTTATATTCGATCATATTTGAGAATTGAAAGAATTTATAACAAAATTTGCTTTGTTAAAAATATTGATTGATTTTTTCAAATTTCATTTTACTGTCCTAGCCTTATTAAAGTGCGGTAAGCTACAATTTATAGGTATAAATAAATATCGGGTTTTAATGTGTAGTTCGAATTTCATATTCACACATAATTGTTCAATTATTCGGTTATGGCCATCCCTGCAGCCACTTTATCATGCTAGATTATTGAATTCATGTAGTAGTTCTTTCGAAGATGTTTCTTTCATTCCATTTTAAAATTTTCTTTCTTTTGTGAAGTATAGCAATTTGTGAGGGCTTGTTTTCATTTTTTATGTGATTTTAATTCAGAGGGATTGAGGATATCTGAGCACTTAAAATCGATAAATTTTGTTTCACAAAAATCTGATTTTTATTGAAAATAATAATAAATTTCTCAAAATGTAACTCGGGTAATCGCAAATGATTAGGTCAGGGTGGTCCAAGGTTGTGGGCTACACGGGCTATAAAATTATTTTAGCATTGGTCGCGGGCCGCAATAGTACCAAGGTAAACAGTGCAATTCAAAACAAGTACTTCTATTGTGTAAACACATAGTTATCACATAGGCATTGCCAACATGGGCTAATGAAATTCGCATCCAATGTTTAGTTTTTTTATCATGCTTATATTATTAGCATATGTTCCCGACAAAAATGATAGAAATCCAGGTAACAATTTAGACTGCCCATCACATCTTCAACTTTGCTAGTTGCTTCAGCTAGCCATCATACTAGTCAATTCAGTCACAGTAGTGATATAATATATGTCAAATGATTATTCTGATTTATTTTATGATAAGCAATTTAAAATACGATATTCTGATTACTCTCTGAATGTGGCACATGTGGCCCGCGGGCCTGGCTTTGGACCACCTTGGATTAGGTAATTGTGTGCATTGCCATGCATGCAGCCATTTGCAATTCCAGTGTAACAAAAAGAAAATTTGCAGACATTTTCATCGACATTTTTACTTGACTTAATATTTGTTTGCAAACAGGCAAAAATTTGACTACACTTCAATTTATATTTATACGTGCTTACTTGTGCCTTTTGCTTTTAACAAGACCCTGTATGAGGTATTCCGTTCCTATAATGAGAAGAAAACAGAAATCTGTTTAGTGACGTAAACAAAGAAGTATTTGGTGAAAAATAAGCAACAGTTTGGTAATTTTAAATAATTTTCATTCAACCTGTATCTTTTAAAATTTTAATGAATTTTTTGCTTTTGTACATATTTTCTCATTTTCTTAACCTCTCCAGTAAATATAGCTATAGAGCAGTGGTTTTCAACCTCCTTGGTGGAGCACAACCCAATGGAACATTCCAGTTGCTCAAGGAACCCCTGTGCAATAGTTTAATTGTCTTTTATGCCTGAATTGTATTACATATAAATACAGGGTGTCCATAAAGTGAAATCTTAAATAAAAAATGATAAAAAAACAAATCTGGTTGAGATATAATGAGAACTGACTTCATAACAAAATTGAAGATGTAAAGGTAACTTTATGGACACCCTGTATATATATAACAACAAATCAAATACTGGCAAAACAAATGGATCCTAATTCTTAATATTGTCGGAAGTTTAAAAAGGCATCCTGCACTGTACTGGTGGAACCCGAGGGTGTGCCGCCGAACCCCGGTTGAAAACCACTGCTATAGAGTGATAGAAGAACTGATCTGTTTGGCACACTTTAATGTTGAGATCACCATACTGTTATTTCTATATTGTATATTTACGTACCCCAGATTATGAAGTGGCGAAGACATCTTGGTATAAATATGTGTGGTTAAATTACAATATTGTGCCTTTTGTACACAAGCACAAGGCCCAAGTTTTCCCCTGTGTGGTCTTGAACTGTCCCATATTAGGTACAATCAATGCTTGGAAATAAGTGTTCATGTTAATAAAAGTATGGTATGTTGTTGTAAAATTGATAAACTCAAATTTCACCATGAACAACTACCGTATATAATATAAATTATGCTTTGCCAACCCAAAATGAAAATTAGAAATGGTTATGATTTCTCTTATTTCAATATCTCAATTCTTAATTGAAGCAGTGTTTTTTGACGATCTGAGTTCTATTTTTATTGTGGTAAAGGATTTCTTTGTATTCATTTATTATAAATAACCATGCATTACAGTCGATGTTAGTTTGTTCTGTCCCACTCTACTTATGTGCTTGACAAAGGCTTAATCTATGTATCTGATCATTTGATTCTGTAAATTTTAATTCCGGTACTTGAGATCAAGACCAGAATTGAAGAAGTAATGTGTCCATATGATCAAAATCACATTTTTAACAGTAAATTTTTCATTTCTTGAATTTAAAATACAAGCATATTCTAAAGTACCTGGAATGAACATCACTTAAATATATATGAACAATTTCCATTTTCCCTAAAGTAAAAGCGGTATAATGTTGTATTGCTGGGTCGAAAAGTTGTTAATAGAAGTAAAACTGTCTACTTGGCAAAAGAATGTGAACTCAGTACTTGTCATTTCAGTGGCCTATGTGTTCAAACAATTTTCTTTTGTGCTTGTCATAACATTGTGACCGACAATTTCTATGCTTTGTCGTGTTATTGGGTAGTTCGGTAATCTAATACAAATTCTGTTTCTCTACTGCTTGTCATTTTCCCAAGCAGAAACCTGGTATTTGTGATCATGATCTGAGCATAATCGATGTTTCCTCATCCTTGGCCACAGAAAAATTGTTCGTATGCTTCACTATTATTGTAAAATTTTAGATGCTTATCTTGATAGTATTTTGTGAGCTAGCGCATAAAACCAGTTCACTTGTTTTCTAACAAGTATTTTGGTTCAAAATGGTTGACCAATTGTTATTCGAAAATACTGATAGCTTATTTTAGTATTGCCTATCATTTTTCAACTAAACTAGACTTATACCTAAATTTAACCAAAAGCGAACAAATATCCAGCATGACCTCAAAAACGATGCTAATGTTTACAACCATGTCCAAAAGAAAGTTTCGATACATTGAAGTAAAATTTGAAAAATGTGATATTGTCATAATGCCCTTTGACCATCTTGGTAGTGAGCCATATCCTTACATTTATTTCTGAATGCAAGCAAATTGTATAGTCGTAAGTTTTGCTTTAGTTTGTTTGCTAAAAAATTTCTCTGTAGCAGATAAATCAAAACATATAATGAGATATAATTTACTGTTAAATAAAGCATTTTTGAATCCTGAACTTTTGAGTCGCATTCTGTTTCAGCAGAACCTGTAGTTAATCCTATGTATTTTGCATTCTTGTGACATTAATTTTACAATGTAAAATAAACCTTTCAGAATTAACTTGTATCACAGCTTTGTGTTCATTTTGTCAATGTCTGTTGTAGTCTCTAATCTCAATACGGGTTGGGGATATTTGTATATGGATATAATTGGTCTATTTTGAAGTTGATTACTATAATCTTGAGCGGAAAAGAGGCAGTGGGTCGCCATATCATTAAGCTATCTAATTGGCTTTTCACACCCCAGCCCCCCCCCCCCCCCCCCCCCCCGCCCCACCTTCATAAGGATAAATATTGAACTCCATATCGGATATTCTAAGGGCACATATTCGAAGTTTTACTCTGTAGCAATCTAGCAATACCAATTTGCGCGCCATTACTACCAAAACATGACATCTGAAGGAAAAGGTGAAAATAATATCTATAATATATTGGTCAAACAAAATTCCCAGCCATTCCTAAATCAGTACTTATGTCATTTCATGGATTACTGGGTTTTATGTGACTGTTTGTTCTGTAGGATTACACACTTGCATGTTTTTAGGGCAGATTCCCAATCTATCTGAACGAAAAAGTCTTTATTAACTCAAAAAATAATTTCGAATAGTTCTAGATTTGAATTTAATTTTCAGGCATCACTAAATCAGGCACTGCTACTCAAATCGGTATATCACGTGACCTATCTTGTGACACTAATCAAATAGTCCTCATAAAAGTCAATGATTCACAAGGTTGTACTAATGTATAGACATAGGTGTCAACTGTTTTCATGGCCATACGACTTATTGTTTCCTAGTATGGGCAGCAGGTGATGTTTGTCTCTAAATCTATAGCCCAGGTGTGGCATACGCCCTGTAATTCTGAATTAGATCGTATACTGCAACATATACACTTTTATTTGCGTAAAGTTTGACATATGGGTGCGATTCCATCCTATCTAACAATTGAAAGTATATTAATTTCATTTTTATAGAGCCGATAGTATTAGGGAGAGGAAAGGCGTAATAATCATATGGCGAACCACATGCTAATGAGATACCTCCCTTTTGGTCGCGCTAGCGTTATTTTAGGTTCTGACATCCATTCGTGTGCATGTATTGGTTCCATTACATTTGAACCCGCGTACATTTGTACCCACGATAATTGCACCTGCATACTATTGCACCCATGGATATTTTTTTGTTTTATGGATATTTGAACCCATAGTAACCCTAACCCATGGGTTTTAGCACCCGCATATAGATTGAACCCGCGGATATACACGTGGGTTCAAATGCATGGTCACCGTATGTATTACCCACGGTTTTGTTCATCCCGAGGTGTTCGCATCAAATTCCGTGATAACAGATGAGTCGAAAACGGCCCTTTGTCATAGAATTGCCGCATTCGGTTCTTATTACATAAATAAACGAGAATATCGGTCGGAGACCGAAGACTTATCGATCGAATGCAAAATTTGGAACATATTCAACCTCGCTTTCGTGAGATATCGCGTGCATCTAACAGACATACAAATACCTATCAACATACTTACCGATCAAGATCGATAGGTAACAAGCCAAATTATGATCACACAGCCACAAGCGACCGAAATTTGCGTATGTAATCGGTATTTTATTGACCGCGTATATTTGTAACCCGATATTGGTTGCTCCCGAAATAGTATTCTCTCGCTCAATCAATTAAAATCGGAATTTACTTATAACTTTTTGTTATGATAAATAATTTGGTCAATTAGGCTACTGACATTTATTCAATCGCGGATTAATGGCTTGCTCTGGGCATCGTGTAAATAGGTAGAATAAAATGGTCGAATATACCCTCGTTAAGTGGACTGAAAGAAATTAGAGAATTTTGAAAATATAATTTCGAAAAATATAATTATATTATTCATATATATGTGCTTTTAAATTATGCGTGTATGGGATAATTATAGACACATTGTATATGGCTCGCTCAATTTCTAGTGAAGGATAATACTCGATTGAAGTCAATATAAATAGCATCACCTAAAATCAACGCAACTGTCTCGGCTGTATGTTATAGCCAAACATCCAGTTATTTTCATCAGAGATATATTTTGTGTATGTTTTCAGGTCCGGTCCAACTAACTAACTTAACTCACGCAGAACAGATTATTCCGGGACCCACTTCGGGAAGAATCAAGAATAACAGACAAAAATAAAGAAATCGGTATCTAATAATAAATTGAATATTATTATCATTTATCCAAGCACGACATCACAATCGAAGTAGCTTTATTTACCAGCCTGTTCGTGAGCAAAAAACTAATCTGGCCAATAATGATTTATTGTGGTTAAATTTAGTCGAGTGTGGGACAGGTTACCAAATCATGAGTTACATACGAATGAACCTGGTGGTGGCGAAAGTCGTTACCGATCAGCGACCCAGTATTCATCGATGAAGATGCCAAGTATGACTACTTACGACATATCTTACCGAGAAAACATACCCACCTAAGCAATACTATATGACATCAAACAAGAGGAACTCGGAATCGATTCCAGTCGATTCCGCGAAGAATCGATTATGTAATCGAATCCGGACTCGATTTCGCCATCCCTATTTATCGGTGCAATAGCAAGCATAACAGCCGATGCAAAACGTACATATCTCTTATTGTTACCGTTGAATTGATAGCCTACATAATAAATTCGTCTTTTCATAATTTCTTTTATTCATGTACAAAATACGAGGATACTGATAATGAATATAATTTATTACTTTTATTTATTTCCTAATTTTCTATGAATCTTGTAGGGAATCTGAGTTTGCAGTCCAAAATTTTGCTATATTTTTATTTTTCATGGGAACGTGGCTTTTCATCCACTGTTTCCGATTTGACAGCTGTTTTCGATATGACGCGACGCTACGTGAAACTCGGAGATAAATTGATACCCGTAGATACGAAAAGTGCTCTGTTTTGTATTTCATTTACGTATATTTGAGCATCGCTCTCTTGTAATATTCAGTGATTAAATTTGATAATTCACACTGTGGCATCATAATTATTTTGCTGTGGTCGACCGCTGGCACGGCATATTTTTTGATTGCACGACTATTGTATTTCCAATGTCGGGGACATTTTGTGAAACGTATGTACACACACATGTAGCTCGGCGTTGAATTGTGTTTCCTGAATGCTATAATAACGAATGCGTGTGCAACACACTAGGATGTACACGCCAACCCACGTCATCCGCGCACAAGGAAAACATTTTCCTGAAATATAATGCGTAGTAAATTGTATTCTTTCGATGAGGTCTGGTCATTGGTTTTATACCGCTTACTCACAGCACACCTCGATAAAAACACCAATTTGAATGTATGGAAAAGCTTAACACACGAATTTCCGTAAACCGTCATCCGAGAAGTCCCACTAATCATTTAGTAGCACATAATCATTCCCCGCAGATATCTTAAGAAGCCGCGAAGCATAATTTCATAACATCTTTAAATTTCTAAACGCCTAGTGCGGTGCACAATCCTATACTATCTGCTTGATAATATTATCAATAAACGGGCATATTCAGAGAACTGATGTGATATCATTTTCATACCTAATCCCGGAGAAAAAGGTTGATTAGACTTTTAAACCTACGGCGGCCCAGGCCCCCCGTCTATATTTAGCTCAAGTTGAGCGTGGCAGCGGTTATCAAATTAGGAGTGTTATATACGTGGACTTGGGTGATGAGAAAGTCGAAACCGATCTGCGATCCACTCCGATTCAGCAGTTTGTGACCCAACGGCAAGGGAATTCTTAACATGGTACGACATCAGTCTTGGCGGAGGGCGAAGATCTTCTGCTACATTTGAAGAGATCTGAATGCAGAACCTGCTAATATTTGCGACGGGCGGTGGCGCTATCAAGCTTTCTGAACGTGTTGCATATTGAAGTGCAGCTGAGGATTCCAAAATTTTCAAATTTTCCGACCTTGTTACCAATAAAATTCAATTTGGAATGTAAATATTTGTCACAGACAAAGTCATCAAATTCTGTTACCGTCAAATCACGGACCATTGTTTTTTTCGTAAAACCTTTCGAGCGAACCCCGAGTTTTACACCATAAAATGTTATAAATAACTATGAATATGTTTTTATTGAATAATATATATATATATGTACTTATATATCTGTTACAGACCAGAACACAGTATTGAATGTTACTTACATACAACTTGTCAAGTCGCGCCAAATTCACAGAAAATGTGTCTGTTCCTATAAATTCCTGTTTCTGACTACGGAAAAAGCCGCAAAGTTTCGCCCCTGGCATTTAACTCTAAACATACTGCTAAACAAAATGGTGGACAAAAAGTCGCTTCGTTTTTATTACCTCATGACCGCCTCCAAAGTCCTCCACGGGAGAAAGGCAGTGAAGCCTACCCGACCAGTATCACAAGTCCTATTAATGTACGGCCTCAATTATAAAACCATCACAACCCCAAATTAGAAAATCGAAAAGAATATATTATCAATAGCATATGCCGGTGGAAGATGATTGAAAGACAATGCTGATGTGCATCTGCATTGGTATAAAGCGAAGAGAATCATTGCCTGAGTGTTCAAATATCCAAGGTGCATAATTGGACAAACTCATAGTCGAAAGTCATCTATTAGGGCTTGTTTCTCGAACGCTTCGTGAAAAAATGGACAAGATTAATCGAATCTGAAATATCAATGGATTATAATTATAACGCGACTAATCATGGTCGATATGTCCACCGCCTTCAAAATAGTATTTGGCTCAGTGGTTTTCAAACTTTTTGGTAGAGCGGAACCCCAATGAGACTTTCCAGACTCCTCAGTACCTCATATATATGCGGGTTCAGGCATGCTCAACCTTTTCAGTGTCGCGAGCCACTTTCATGTGAAGGAATTTATTGCGAGCCGCAAACATTTCCACCAAACTGAAATACCAACTGATTGATTCACATGAGAATTTACATAATACCCAAAAGCAAGTTTAATTACATGAACACAATTGCAAGTATTGTAGGCAAATCGATTTGACTAAATAATGAGGATATATTACTGTATTACATGGACTATATTTCAGTATTTGCTCGACAACTGGTACCTTTTATGTTGTAGAAAACGATATTAAACAACGTCTCCCTCATATATCTATCTGTATATATATATATATTGTTTCTTGTTGTAGTTCAGCTGTTCAGTGAACCGAGAATGGCTAAACCACCAATGGTTTATGTTACAGATTTTACCTTAATTTTCATACCTTGGTGCAACATTAAGTGATGCTCTATGCCGTAGATATAGAGAACTTTATAGGATAAAACTTGTTATTTCTTACTATGTAATTTATAATAACATCATATGACAAATTACAAAATTAAATTAATCTGATTATTTTTAAATCTATAGACTAGTATCAGTATTGTGAAAGCTCTGTCGGAGATTTTGGTTACTTTTTCTAACAATTTAGGATAGTTATAGCGGTCAGAAGCTTATATTGCCAATAGTTGACCCGGCCATAATGACATGTGGTTAATGGAAGTTGACTTCGAAAATTAAATAAGCTTACATACTTGATTTTCTAGAGATTCAAAACAGTATGAATATCTTGGTAGAGGCCAAATCATCTATATAGCCTACTTTATTTTATGCTGTATTGTAGGAAAATAAAATAAAAGTTATGGCGAATATAAATGTCAAAGCCGTATGGCGGCATGAAGATATAAAGTCACTGCTTGCAGCTGTCATGGCTGTGGATGTGGCAAATGTTATGGACACTGACAGAAGAAGCGCTCGGAAAAGAGTTATTTTTGAACGAGTGCAGTGTTTCATGGAGGCGAGTGGACACCATTTCACAGTGTAAGTAACTAACCTCATAGTAATTTCAATGATTTATTTTCAGAAGTCACAGTTGTATCAATTTTCGTTAGAATTTGTTTGACAGTATTTGATATAATGAATTATTTAGAATCTAGTTTTAAGATACAAAATTAGTATAAAGCAAGCTTAAACAAAATTTATTTGCCTTTGAAAGATGACATTAATGAAGTTTTAAACATTTCAAGAAAATGTTACAGCTCTCCATTGTCAGACTAAGCAAATATATAAGAAAGAGCCCTATATGAATGTGCACTTTGTGAAAATTATATTCACTGAACCTAATTGATGCCATTTTCACAGATAAATCCCTATGTGAATTTGACTATCCCAACTATATATTTCAGTAGTATCTTTGCGGTTACTTTACTAATATAATTCAAAAACTGTTTACAGTGCTCAATGTGCCGGCAAGTGGAAAAAACCTAAAATGGAATATCAAAAGATGTTGGCTTCTTTAAATAAGTCGGGTGCAGCAGGATATGGCGAAATTACATGGCCAAACTTTGACGAAATGAATTTAATACTGGACCTCGACCACGAAATATTGTAAGAACAATGAGTTTCCTTTTCTGCTCTTAACATATATTTATGGACTAAATTTTCTTGCTGTTTTAGGTTCTGCAGCCGGGTACTTCATGTGGCATCGATTCTTCAGGTAATTTGCAGCTATGGCATATTTTGCCTGATTTTACTCTCATTGTGTACTGATGAACGTTTTACTCATCACACTTAGTTTTCCCAATCTATAGACTTAAAGTTGGCTGCTTATAAAGGCTTTTGCTATTCGTGGAATGCTTAATTGTTCCATATCAATTACTGAATTGCACTATGCATTTTAGGAATGCCCCTTCCATATTAAAATATTGTAAGCTAATAATGACTAATGATGCGAACATTTCAGAGATTGAATCACGAGAAGTTGTGGACATCGGAGGTAGAGATTGCATTCATTACAAGTTGATTAAGAAATAGTTGAGTTTTCATTTAAGGAATAATTAGGAATATTGAACACAGAACTTGTCAATTTTAAAAAAATAGCCTTCAATATTAATTCATATAGCAAAATCTTTATTTTTGTGAAAAGTGGAATAAAACAATGTTTTACTTCTTGCATCATCACCTCCCGTATGATTCCCAAATGATGTATCTGGCAGCGTATTAATTTGTTCGTTCTTGATCATCCTTGCTCACAACCATTATAACTTGTAGAACATTGTAATGAATCGAATGATTTGGAATTATGATACCGTATGATTTATGAATTGTGACTTGGAGTATTTAGAACAGAGTGAAATACAAGTTGCAGACTCTCCTCAGGACAGGATGACTTGGCAACGGAAACAAACAATACAAATGATGAAGGTATGTTATAAACTCTGGAATAAGACATTTTATTCTCGGCAAACTTCACTTAACAGAAATTGGGAAATTAACACAAGTTATTTTGGAGCTTCCAATTCCCAAAGTATGTGCCCAAGATGGTGCACAACCTGAAAATAGTATGTGTATGAGGCTAGGGTTCAGGTTGTGTGCCATCTTGGTGCACATACTTCGGGAGCACCGTTATTTTATGTCAGCATTATTTTTAAACTGATCATATACTAATAAAGCATTGTCGTTCGATATTAAATCCAATTTTCAGAAGCAGCAGAAAATTCAACCGTCGAAGAAAACCAGATACAAGGTTCATATGATAAATTTTTCAATTCATGACCAACTTATACATATTTATTCGACTGCTGTTCTTTCAGGAAAATTATTTGTTTTGTAAACAAGTGTAAACCACTACCATAGTCGATATTCATAAAACCTTGAATGACACTCGGACTGACGAATTAGTCTATTGGCCACATTTTTTCCCCTGTCTTTAATGCCTCTGTTTTCAGGTGAAAATGGCGGTTTCAATTCTTCGGGGGAATCGTCCGCAAATGTTCTACTTCAAGGTTAGCATTTTAAATAAATACTGTCTAGGGCAGCAAAATCATTATCTAATATGGACAAAACCATTTTACATTTTTTGTTTATTTTACAAGTTATTCTTAAAACCTTGAATGACGCGACTCAGACTTTTGTCCGCATTTCTTTCCCTGGGTTTAATGTCTCTGTTTTCAGGTGAAAATGGCGGTTTCAATTCTTCGGGGGAATCGTCTGCAAATGTTCTACTTCAAGGTTAGCAACTTGAATAAATACTGTCTAAGGCAGCAAAATCACTAAACTAATATAGACGAAAACATTTTTTGTTTATTTTACAAACGAAATTAGCTGTAAGTAACTGTAAATGGATTGTTTCATTCCTCAAACAGGAACAAGTCAACGATCATTTAGGAGAAAAAAGGCAGTTGCAGACAAGGGAACAAGTAAGAAAAATAGCTTTAACAATAGATGATTATATACAGAAAGCTGATTATTACAGAATAAAAAATTTTAGATTGTGTCTCAAAGTAGTTTTGATGTAGTAAAATGGTTGCTGTAAAACACATAATTTTCAGTAGAATTGTAGTAGTTGAGTGCAGAATATCACAATCTTTAATACAGTTTAGCAGAATGAAAGGTAAATGACTAACAGGAATTTGTTCGATTTAATAAATGATCAACAGGAATTTGTGTAATTTAATAAATGACCAACAGTATTTTGTGTAATTTTGTGCAGGGGAGCTAGAAAATGCAGTGAAGCGGTTAATAGAAAGCAATAAGAAACAAGCAGATGAAGACAGAGCTGCAGCCAAGGAAGATCTGGAAGCGCTAATAACTGCCATTAATCAGAACACTGATAAATTTATAGAAGCGATCAGCAAGGCTCGGGAGTGATTTACAGCATTATGGAATCTAACAGCTGACATAGCTTTTTAGACTTGTCCAGTCAGAACTTACAGATTTTCATAGTTGATAATTTCTACTGTTCCACGCTTTTGGAAATAAATGTCATTTCTTTGATAATACTAAAATCTAGTCTGTAGTAGATGTGGAAAATTCTCCCATAAGTAGGTACATAGCGCATCCCTTGTTTGATCAGCAATGGCAACCTCCATTTCATTATCTCTTTGTTCGATGCCCCTTGTTTGATCAGCAACGGCATCCCTCCTGTCATTTTGACTTGGTTCCTGCATGGCTGATTCGCAGTCATCAATTACCACGGGTGTCTGATCATTCTCCAAAATGTTGTGCAATATGCAGCATGCTGCTACAATATGGGGAACGAACTCAAGGCTGACTGGGACTGCATTTTTTAGAATTCGCCAACGAGCTTTCAATATTCCGAAATAATTTTCAATGATGACTCGACTGCGACTGTGATAGTTGTTGAATGAAATTTGTTGTTGAGTCAGTGCACCTGTATATGGTTTCATTAACCAATGCAGATTCGGATACGCTGCATCCCCAAATATAACTAGCGGGAGTAACGTCCCATTTATATCAATGGGTGCCTGTAAGAATAACAAGTTTACTGAGTGTTATCAACAGTGCGTAGGTCATCAAGCTAAGCGTTAGGAGTATGCTCGCCACCGCAATCCTGATTACTACGTAGGTTCGCAGGTTCAAATCCCATGCGGGGATAGTTATGTCCGAGGGGATTGCTGGACTCCTCGCCTCCGTAGGGTGGTTTACGTAACCGCTGGTCGGTTACGGCTCCCTCCACCATCAAGTCCATGCTTCCACAAATAAATAACTAACTAATCCCATACCCGAAACAGAATAGTAATTGGACACGAGGCTGTGGTTCGCCATATGGTTAATCCGTCTTTTTCACTTTCCTCTCCCGGAATAAATATGTAAATCCTATCCTTAAAAGTCCCTTTCTTACCTGAGGTAAGCTGTTGGATTGGGTGAATATTCCAGAATTTTCTAGTACAAAGGCATCGTGGCATGAGCCAGGCATCCGAATATTGATATTTCGAAATTTGAAAAAATGTGTACTAAGTTACCAATAAAGCATTGGCATTGCTACATTATTGAATGTGCCTGAATAGTTAAAAGTTCTCATAGCATTCTTTCCTTCTCATAGTTTGACAACAATTGACCTGAACAAGTCACCAACCTGTAAAGACAATCGGAAACTGCCTGAAGAACCATTGATGCAGTTCCTTTCCTGTTTATAAAGTCTGAATGGCCATGCTTAGGTGGATTAATGGGAATGTGTGTACCATCAATGTCGGCATAAGCTTGAGGAAACTGGGTATGTCTAGCTAATTCTTTGGCTTCCGCCTCTCCTGGCATCTTTATGAATTCATCTACGTGATTCACTAGAGCTTTGCAAAAACTGCAAATAAGAGTAAAACTAATTTTAAAAATCTTAATAACAACTGCTTCTTCTCAATCTACCCATGCAAGTCTATTCAATATATATTATATTGTTCCTCTAAGTATGCCTATTTTACTCGGATTATGATTTTGTAAATTAATTGCTGAGACTTGTTTTATGTGAAATAAGATTGCTTTTCTTTGTTGATATGAACTCTATAATACATTTACTTTTTCAAATGCACAGTGACTGAAGGCTGGGAAACACCGAAGACTGAGGCTGTTTCGCTGAATTCGCATGAAGAGGCCAACTGATGAACCGCTATGGCTACGCCCTTGTGGAGTGGAATGGGCTGACGCACCCAGTGTTCGTCTGAAAATAGGAATAATTAAATTGTCTGGAAATATAACCATTTTTAAACCCATGAATTTCCATCTCACCTGGCTTCATTTCTTCTTCTACGATCTCCACTATTTTTTTAAAGGTCGATCGTTTCATGCGAAAGTGTTTCAGCCACTCTGCATCCGAGTAATGGCGATCTATAATGAGCCACCAGTCTTCAGGTCTAAAAATATCGAAAAATATAATGGCACCTGCATGATATAGCAACAGCTTAGTCATAAATTCTATTTTAAAAATGTATAACTCTAACGGAATGCTAGCTACATTTTTTGCTGACCGAAATAAAGTTAACATTGCTCACAATTTGTTTCCATTATTGAGTCATGATATAGTAGGGTAAGGTACTAGACCAAGTTTTTTTTTACCGTTTTAGCATCCAGTATTTTCTATTCCTTCTTTTTGGCCTGAACAGCATAGAGAAGTTAGCAATATGCCGACGCCTCCGGTTCATCCTACGTTGATGCTCCCGTTGGAAGAAGCGTTGACATATTGCTACTACATTTGTTAAATAAATAATAAAAAGCGATAGGGGTATGTCATCTACCATATTGTCCATCTAGCTTTTAATAAAATAGAAATTAAAGTTATGATTTCCTCAACTTATTATCTGCTTTGGCTTATTTTCAGTACGGTACTATTGCCTGATTACCTTACGCGCCAAGACCTGCCGGGAAAGCGAACGTTTTCGCGGGTTCGCCCAACCGCAACGAGCCCGCTTAGAATTTGGACATGTAATGGACATCGATTAGCGGTCCGTTAGACCGACGCTGATTGTTCCGATTCGAACCGGTTCTCAAGACCGCATTTAGTGGACATGTAATTAGACCTAATGATTACTAAATAGGGCTGAGCCAAATATTCGAATATATAACGACTGACTATTGGAATACCTGATGTAACACGTGACCTGACACTTTGGTTGCGCATCGTTGAACGCACAACCTGATTTCCGACGAGCACACGAGAATCTGGACACAATTTCGTCAACAAAGATGTCGAAATTTAGTGTTATATTTGCGTTAGGATGTTTTAATTTATTTTCTTTTAGTGACTGAGATATTAATTCAATTTTTAAATGAAGATAACTTGCGCCAATGTCGCGTGAGTTTCAACAAAATTTTGGTGGGCCGTTTTGTAAATTTCGAAACATCAATACAAGTACCTAATGAAGTAACTTTTTCAAGATTCCTGAGTGAATATATTAATTTGAATAAGAAGTAATGGTATTAGGTCAATATTTTTCAGAAATTTAACGGATACACTGTGACGACATTTGAGAAGTTTATTTTATACCGCGAAAATAACATAGACACGATAGAAACGGAAACGATCAAAGTCAACACGAAATATAATAATCAAAATAAAATTTGGGGTTGCAGATTCATTTCTATAATTGTCCTTAGCGTCTCGCTGGCAACGATCGCAAAGTAGCTTTAGAATTTATCGAACAGCCGCGCAGTCCAGCGAGAAATAAAAAATCATCAATAGCCACCACCATCAGGGCGCAAGACTTGATACATGCGTAATAAGGAGAACCGACATAAGTTCATCAAACAATACATCACCTGTAGGTAGGCTTACCATGAGCTTTAGGCGGGACAGTTCCGCTTTTGAACATCTTGTACCGCCGTCCCGACAAGTCAGCCAAAAGTCCCTCTTTGGCGTTCAGCCATCCAGCATAATACAGAACATGTTCTCGTTACTGTTGTTGCTGTGTAGCGCAGCGCTAGACTACTTACTGAAGGTGAATGCGTTAATTTGTTTGTTCCGTTGTTTCCCGCTAACATTGTTAGCAAACGTATTACATGTAACATTGAACAACGTGTTTTTGAAGAAGGTGTTATCTACAGAAAAACAGGGGCTCCCGAAGTATGCGAACCAGGATGGCGGACATCGGAATGTAATGTGTAATGTGTACTAGGTTAGGATTAGGCCATAATTTTAGGTATAAATACTACCTGAGGTTCTTGGCTAGTCTCCGAACTGATAATAGGACTATGTTATAATAGGATGTTACGTTCCGATGTCCGCCATCTTGGTTGGCATACTTCGGGAGCGCCGAAAAACATGATTGGGCGAAGAGTAAATTCTCAATGCTTGAAAACGCCAGGCTATTTTATTATTCTTTCTTCCCTTTGCTGTACATAAAAAGTCGAAATTTGAATTATTTCTATCGTTAACGTCAATTACCTTCTATTTTTTGAACTGAACCCGATATTTGGACAGATAATATAATATGCGCATGAACTTTCGTTGACAATATGGCCGATGAAGACAGCCGGGATGGTTTAGAAGGTAACCCTATGTAGTAAAATTGAAAAATGTAAAGTTACAAAATCACAGCTAAGGTGTCGTTGTTTTTGGAGGCGTCCCGCTTTGAAGTCACACAAAAAAAAAATCCTACCTGTAAGAAACATCAAATATGATACAAAGCAAGATAAGAAGAAGGCAGCCTGTCACTTTTTATTTGTGGTTTCTAATTTATCGAATTTATAGGTATATTGGCCATTAGTACAATTTAAATAAACATCAAAATCAAATATTTACATGCGATGTATTAAAGACGGAGTTATTTCTTTATAAAGAAAATATTAGGTCGACGCTTTGGAAGCAACAACTTATTAAATCAAACAATACATCAGCTATAGGGACACATCAAATCAAATCAGCAAATGGAGTCCTAAAAGGTTATCAACTTATGACCTTATGGTTGTCAGTCGTTCTATTGTCATAGGATTTGTGTAACCCTTGGAACCGAAAAAAATTCATAGAAATATGCTGTGGTCAGCTTTCACAATTGTAAGGCCTTGTTTCATGTAGGCTGAGCACAAATCAAGTATTTATACCAGGGCTTATGAGTAATAGTTGAGTCAAAGAGTAAAAGAATAGATTAATGGGTGGTCCAAGGTTGCGAGGTTGGCGGGCCGCAGTGGGAGAAAACCCAAAAGTGATCAAAACAACGCGAATTTACTCCCTTTGAGATGAGATTTTACCACTCTAATCAACTTTTTGAGGAGGATATATAAAGCCTTTAGTTAAAACATTGCTTGCCGAGAAATATCGTGGTATGTTCGGTATCTTTTCTCGTGTTTGGTTTCGGGGTTTTGTGATGTCTTAAAATTATATTCTTTCGTGACAGATATTACTTAAAAAAAAAAAAAAAAACAGACACTGTGGTTTAACGTTGTTGCGGGTAAGGAAATACGTTCCCTCCATTCAATCTCGGTCACCTATTTTATTACACTGCTTATTTTATTACTTGTAGTGTGAGCTGACCAAATGCTATTGTAGAAGAAAAACCAAGTCCGTCTAAGTTGGGACTCGGAATCCAGCTAAAAAAACTGGATCGCGAGGTGCTAAGTCAGCTCCGCCGTTTGTCACTGCTGTCAAAATAACCAACGATTGGAAATAGAGGAGTGTTTATACTAAAATAAAGGCACAAAATGTCTCTTCAAATGAGGAGTTACTTGACGCGAGCTTAAAGTTTAAAGTTTAGATAAAAAGCACAACTCATCTCAACGGCTTGGTCCTGTCTGCACACGCCAATTCATTATCCTGGTACCGATCACAGGACTTTACCGCCAGACACCGTTTCGACGTTTATAGATACAACATTGAAATTCCATGATTTTAACAAACATCAATCCCGACATCGGGATTACGAAAAGGACTATTCCCAGTTGAAATAGTTTAAAAATAAGCTCAAACATTTTCTGCCAATAAATACAAATATCTGCCAATGGTTTAGTGTACGCGAAAATCGTCCCGCGGGCCGCACGGGATGTGTCCGGGGGCAGCATGAGGGCCGCAGTTTGGACCGCCCTGGATTAACAGATATCAGATGATGGCGAAATCAGTCCCGCGTCCCACCTCAAAAATAGCTAGCTAACCGTAACTACAAATAACAGATAATAAGACGAAAGTATGTTTTATTAACAGACAGGTTGAAAATACGTGGATGGAACATAAATATCCAAAATAAAGAAATGTAAATACCTTTTCTAGTAGAATTTATATATATATGCGTTAAGCCCTAAGATTTTTTAAAGATGTGCTCCTATGTTAAATGGTCTGTGGATGGTTTTGATGATCTTCGGCTGTTTGTATGAAACACTTTTTAATACATTGAAAGCATTAGTTTGGAGGAATTGGCGAATACAGTAAATAAAATTGAATAATTTGAAAAGGTATCGTAATAAATTGGTATATAGCTGACTGTTGAGAAAAATTATTAACACTGTAAATTTCTCTATCCTGACGTGACTAAAATATATTCAGATTGTTCTGTGCATTGTCCGTGTTGCTTCTCAATTACATGAGCTCCGACGCAAAATATAGAGCTGTTTTCGTCTCTGTTCAAATATGTCCTTTGGCTTTTACAAGTAAGTTTTTGAAGTGTAATTATATGATTTCTTAACTTCGTATAATTGTCGAATCGCAAATTTGATAAACAGCATCTTGAACTGATATTTGCTACTGACCCGAGTCACTGTTTCATAATTTTACGGCCTAATTGTATTATTGTGTAATAACCCAAAATACGGGCGCTCCAGAAGTATGTGAACCAAAACGGCGGACATCGAAACGTAGTATATTTATCAGGGTAAGGTTAGGCCAAAATTTGATTACAATTTTCATTGTTTTAGTCATATTGCGAGGTCGGGGACTAGCAAAAAGACTATCGCAGTATTTGTACTTGTAATAATGACCTAAGCTCAACCTGGTACACATACTACGTTCCGGTGTCCGCCATCCTGGTGAGCATACTACAGGAGTATAAAAATACGTATGACCAAGACAAGGTAAACAAAATGTAACTAGGTTGTGCAACTATGTGTCTGAGGAAGTCTGACGTTGGTCAGAAGAAACGTTACGGAAATACATTTGTATGAGTGTGCAGCAATAACCTTGGATTACCAAACAAAATTAACATGTAATAAACATAATACTTGCCTTTTATTTTTTTTATTTTCATTTTATGAATAGATGCAGCTTTGTTTAAAAATGTAAAACGTTAAAAAATTGTCAACGCAGTCAAGACTTACGTTAAGTTTTGGATTTCCGAGGTTTTCAAAGATAGTCAATGGAAAAAAAGTAGGAACAGCAGGTTTGCATTCGGAATCGCTAGGCACTGTCCTGATTTTTTATTCCAGATGCATGGTGAGTTCACCTTTAATTCACACATATATGTTGTACTATATATATATTTTGCTTTGCTAAGTCTGTGTCGAAATAAAGTTATATTTCAGAATTTACGAATATTTTAAACAATCCGTATCCAATACACACCCAACAAAA